TCTTAAAAAATGATACTTGGAACCCAGAAATTCTTTAGAATTCCTTTGAATTCTTACAAATTCTTAAAAAATTACACTAGGGACCCAGAGATCCTTTTGAGTTGTTATAAATTATTTAAACAATGACACTAAAAGCCTTCGAGATCATCGAGAATCGTTGATAAATGACACTAGGGACCCAGAAATTCTTTAGAATTCCTACAAATTCTTAAAAAAGATACTAGGGACCCAGAAATTCCTTTGAATTAACACTAAGGGTCTCCCAGATTCCTAGAGAATCATTGAAAAAATGACACTAGGAGCCTCCGTGATCAACAAAAATCATGACATTAGGACACAGATATTCATTCTTTAGAATTCATATAACTTTTTAAAAAAGACTGGACCCAGAGATCCTTTTGAATTCTTACAAATTCTTTAAAAAATGACACTAAGAGCCTCCGAGATCATGGAAAATAATTGAAAAAAAAATGACACTAGGGACCCAGATATTCCTTTTAATTCTTACAAATTTTTAAAAAAGACACTTGGGACCCAGAAATTCTTGAGAATTAACACTAAGACTCTCCGAGATCCTACAGAATCATTGAAAAAATGACACTAGGGACCTAGAGATTGTTTTGAATCCTTACAAATTCTTCAAAAATGACACTAGGAGCCTCCGAGATCAACAAAAATCATTGAAAAATGACGCTAGGACACAGATATTCTTTAGAATTCTTACAAATTCTAAAAAAATGACAAGGGATCCAGAGATCATTTTGAATTCTTACAAATTCTTTAAAAAATGACACTAGAGGCAAAGAGATTTTTCTAAATTCCTATACATTCTTAAAAAATGACAGTGGGGACCCAGAGATCCTTTTGAATTCTTATAAATTCTTTAAAAAATGACATTAGGGACCCGGAAATTCTCTTGAATTCCTACAAATTCAAAAAAAAACACAAAGGGCCTCCGAAATCCTAGAGAATCATTGAAAAAATGACACTAGAGGTCCAGAGATCCTTTTTAAATTTTTAAAAATTCTTTAATAAAGACCAGTGGTCTCCGAGGCCCTAGAGAATCATTGAAAAAATGACACTAGGAACCCAGAGATTCTTTTGAATCCTTACAAATTCTTCAAAAATGACACTAGGAGCCTCCGAGATCAACAAAAATCATTGAAAAATGACGCTAGGACTCAGACATTCTTTAGAATTCTTACAAATTCTAAAAAAATGACACAAGGAATCCAGAGATCCTTTTGAATTCTTACAAATTCTTAAAAATGACACTAGGGACTTCAGAAAATCTTTAAGATTCCTACAAATTCATAAAAACTGACACTAGGGGCAAAGAGATTTTTCTAAATTCCTACACATTCTTAAATGATGACAGTAGGGACCCAGAGATCCTTTTGAATTCCTATAAATTCTTTTAAAAATGACATTAGGGACCCGTAAATTCTCTTGAATTCTTGCAAATTCTAAAAAAAAACACAAAGAGTCTCCGAAATCCTAGAGAATCATTGAAAAAAATGACACTAGGAGCCTCCGAGATTAATGAAAATCATTGAAAAAATGACACTAGAGGTCCAGAGATCCTTTCAAATTTTTAAAAATTCTTAAAAAAAAAGACCAGTGGTCTCCGAGGTCCTAGAGAAAATTTGAAAAAATGACACTAGGAACCCAAAGATTCTTTTGAATTCTTATAAATTCTTAAAAAATGATACTTGGAACCCAGAAATTCTTTGGAATTCCTACAATTTCTTAAAAAATTACATTAGGGGCTCAGAGATTGTTTTGAGTTCTTACAAATTCTTTATTAGACACTAAGGGTTCCCGAGATCCTAGAGAATCATTGAAAAAATGACACTAGGGACCTAGAAATTATTTTAAATCCTCACAAATTTAAAAAAAAAGACACCAAGGATTCAGGATTCTTCAGAATTATTAAAAAAATGAGACTAGGGACCCCGACATTCTTTAGAATTCTTAAAATTCTTTAAAAAAAAAGATACTAGGGGCCTCCGAGATCCTTTTGAATCCCTATACATCTTTAAAAAAATTACACTACAGACCCAGAGATTCCTTTTAATTCTTACAAATTCTTTAAAAAAAAATGACACTAGGGACCTTCGACATTATTTAGAATTCTTATAACTTCTTTAAAAACATACACTAGGAGCTTCCTAAATCTTTTAAGAATCATTTAAAAAACGGCACTTGAAATCCCAGACATTCTAGAATTCTTATGTATGTATTCTTAAAAAATGGACACTAGGGACCCAGAAATTTTTTAGAATTCCTACAAATTCTTAAAAATTGACACTAGGGACCTAGAAATTCTTTATAATTCCTACAAATTCTTAAAAAAGACACTTGGGACCTAGACATTCTTTAAAATTCCCATAAATTCTTTAAAAAGAGACTAAGGCTCTCCGAGATCCTAGAGAATCATTGAAAAAATGACAACAAGGATCTAGAGATTCTTTAGAATTTTTACAAATTCTTAAAAAATGACAGTAGCGGCTCAGAGTGCCTTTTCATTCTTACAAATTCTTAAAAAGACACTAGGGATCCAGAGATCCTTTTGAATTCTTACAAATTCTTAAAAAATGACACTAGGGACCCAGAGATCCTTTTGAATTCTTATAAATTCTTTAAATAATGACACTAAGAGCCTCCGAGATCATCGAGAATTATTGAAAAATGACACTAGGGACCCAGAAATTCTTTAGAATTCCTACAAATTCTTAAAAATGTGACACTAGGGACCTAGAAATTCCTTAGAATTCCTACAAATTCTTAAAAAAGACACTTGGGACCCAGAAATTCCTTTGAATTAACACTAAGGTTCCCCGAGATCCTACAGAATCATTGAAAAAATGACACTAGGAGCCTCCGAGATCAACAAAAATCACGACACTAGAACACAGATACTCGATCTTTAGAATTCATATAACTTTTTAAAAAATGACAGTAGCGGCTCAGAGATTCCTTTTAATTCTTACAAATTCTTAATAAAATGACACTAAGAGCCTCCGAGATCATCGATAATCATTGAAAAAAATGACACTAGGGACCCAGAAATTCTTTTGAGTTAACACTAAGAGTCTCCGAGATCCTACAGAATCATTGAAAAAATGACACTAGGGACCTAGAGATTGTTTTGGATCCTTACAAATTCTTCAAAAATAACATTAGGAGCCTCCGAAATCAACAAAAATCATTGAAAAATGACGCTAGGACACAGAAATTCTTTAGAATTCTTACAAATTCTTTAAAAAAATGACACTAGGGACTTCCGAAAATCTTTAGGATTCCTACAAATTCTTAAAAAATTACACTAGGGGCAAAGAGATTTTTCTGAATTCCTACAAATTTTTAAAAGATGACACTAGGGACCCAGAGATCCTTTTGAATTTTTATAAGTTCTTTAATAAATGACATTAGGGACCCGGAAATTCTCTTAAATTCCTACATATTCTAAAAAAAACACAAAGGGTCTCCGAAATCCTAGAGAATCATTGAAAAAATGACAATAGGAGCCGTCGAGATTAATGAAAATCATTGAAAAAATAACACGAGAGGTCCAGAGATGCTTTTAAATTTTTAAAAATTCTTTAAAACAAGACCAGTGGTGTCCGAGGTCCTAGAGAATTATTAAAAAAATGAGACTAGGGACTCCGACATTCTTTAGAATTCTTATAAATTCTTTAAAAAAGACAGAGGCCTCCGAAATTCTCTTGAATTCTTAAAATTCTTTAAAAAAAGATACTAGGTGCCTCCGAGATCCTTTTGAATCCCAATAAATCTTAAAAAAAATTACACTACAGACCCAGAGATTCCTTTTAATTCTTACAAATTCTTTAAAAAAAGTGACACTATGGACCTTCGACATTATTTAGAATTCTTATAACTTCTTTAAAAACATACACTATGGGCTTCCTAAATATTTAAGAATCGTTTAAAAAATGGCACTTGAGATCGCAGACATTCTAGAATTCTTATATATGTGTTCTTAAAAAATGGACACTAGGGACCCAGAAATCCTTTTGAATTTTTACAAGTTCTTAAAAAATGACACTAGGGGCTCAGAGATTCTTTTGTATTCTTATAAATTCTTTAAAAAAATGACACTAGCAGCCTTCGGGTTCATCGGAAATCATTGAAAAAAATGATACTACGTACCCAGAAATTCTTTTGAATTCCTATAAATGCTCAAAAAATGACACTAGGCGCCCAGAGACCGTTTTAAGTTCTTACAAATTCTTTATTAGACACTAAGGGTGCCCGAGATCCTAGAGAATCATTTAAAAAATGACACTAGGGACCCGGAAATTCTTTTTAATTCTTACAAATTCTTAAAAAATGACACTAGGAACCCAGACATTCTTTTGAATTCTTACAAGTTTTTTAAAAATGCCACTAGGGACCCAGAAGTTCTTTAGCATTCTTACAAATTCTTAAAAATGACACTAAGGACCCAGAGATCCTTTTGAATTCTTACAAATTCTTAAAAAATGACACCAAGGGTCCTTGAGCGTCTTTTGAATTATCAAAAAAATGCACAAGGGGTCTTCAAGTACCTGTAGAATGATTGAAAATCCTTCGAATTATTAAAAATTCTTTGAAAAAAAACACTGGAGATCCTTAGAATTATTACCCTCGTGACTTTTTCGTGTCAGGGCCTTTGCACTTTTAAGAAACGGACACTTGGGGTCCTTAAAATTTGTGAAAATCAGATATATAAACAGATTTTTTCTTATTAACGATGTGCAATGCTTGCGATTAAAATCAAGGCGGATTCATAAACCACATGTTATTTTTATAAAAATTTTAATAGCTTTTACAAAGCCAAGTTTTGAAACGACGTCATCAAATTGACCTGATCCTGACCTGAATTTTGGTTTCGAAAATCACCAAAGTCACCATATCTGGTGACATCGAAAAACCAGTTGGCGTCACTGTTTGCCTATCCTCTTGATCGAAATTTGACATTTTATGTCGTATTTTAGAAACAGCTCCAAGAGGGCAACCGCCTCACCCAGACCCTCCAAACCCAGCTCGAGAACCTCCAGCGGTCGAAGAAAGCCTACGACAAGGCCTTCCGCGACAACGAGAAAGCGCTCGAGAACTTCCAAAAAGCCGACGCCGACCTGCACTTATCCCGAGCCGAGGTCGAGAAGCAGCGCGCGAATCTAGCATATAAAACTCAAGTTTGTGATACGGCGAAGAACGAATACGCCATGCAGCTGCAGAGGACGAACGAGCTGCAGCGGCAGCACTTTAGATCTGGACTACCCGAGGTCTTCCGGCAGTTGCAGGAGCTCGACGAGAAGAGGATCAAGAACATAAAGAATTTTATACGTAGCTCTGTAGATATCGAACGTAACGTGTTTCCTATTATCAATAAATGCCTAGACGGGATCTTGAAGGCCGCCGACGTTATTAACGAGAAGGAGGTTGGTAGCGCCGTTTGGTGATTTTTCTGGTGTGATTTGGGTTCTGTTCCAGGACACTATGCTCGTTATAGAGAGGTATAAGTCAGGGTTTTTGCCGCCGGACGATATTCCGTTTGAAGATTTATCGAAGGGGTGTAGTGATTCGGGTAGTGCTAATAATATTAACAATATTCAAATTAGTGGCAAGTTGAAAGAAGGTGGTTACACAGTGAAAGGGACTATTACGGGGAAAGCGATGAAGAAACGGGCCGGGATTTTCCACATTTTTGGAAGCAGAGGGGTATGTTGGGTTTTTTTGGTCTAGACGTTGGTAGAAATGCATGAAGACGTGTTCACAGTTTATTGGCGCTCAATTACGTGGGAAAATTCTTTTGTTTGTTGATCCATTTCCATTAGTTGGAAGAAAGTAATTCGTGTGATTTATTTTAACGTTTTAGTGAAAGTTTTTGTTTGAAAATAATTACTGGGAATGAAAAGATTTTACGTAAAATGTTTTCGTGTCGTCTTGAAGTTATGGAACGACAACTCAACTAAAGAAAAATCGGCTTAAAATCCGTGTAATTGCCCAAACTCGCTATAACCGATCACTTAAGCTGCGTGAAATTGTCTTTTTCCAGCATCTTTTTAAATTTCCGAAAACAGTAAACTCTGAACACTGATTAGTCTTTTTGCATAAAATTTGTATAATTATCTCCCGATTGAAGTTTACGCTTCTTTGGTTGGGTTTAGAAATTGACTTTTTACCTAGATGTCAACCGAGACCACGTACTATTGTGCAACAACTTTTTCTTTACTTAACTTAAGTTCGATTTCTTTTTATATTTCTATTTTATATGCATTTTGTAACACTTTTGTATTGTTATCCTTCTATTTGGTGATGGTGACCTCGATGTGTGGGCTATTTGTTACCATTACATTATTATAGTAAGTAATTTTCTTAATTACAAACATGCATGGATGTTAACGTTTCATGTGTAAATATAATAACATCGCGATTTAACGTCGCATGTTTTTAAAAGCTTACACTCCTTCAATGACACCCGACACAGAAATTCGGTTTTTGCTTAACTGTGGAAACCTTGCTTTGTTTTTCACGCGAGCTTACGTTTCCACGTAATTACTTAAGTTGAGTAAACACATTTCATACAAGGGCATGTGCTAATGCTTTTATGTTTTCATGCGTACAGAAGCTTACAGAAGTCTGTATGGCCATCAAGGTATGTTGCTTTGCTTTACTTTACTTCACTTAACCTAATTTAAGTTGCCGACACTCCCACACTTAAACTGACTTAAGTGTCATCAAACCAAACGACAATCAATATTCACGTGGGTGTGCAATTTTATCGCTTTGAGTTCCCACATTGCAACGATCCTGTTTTCAAGGGAAAGTTGCAAGTCACTGAACTGAAAACGAAATTGTTGCGTAAGGATTTAAATGAGTGCTCTATTTTAAAGACAACATCTCCACACAGTGTCGTTAACGTTTCCTTTTTCTGCTCAGAATGTGACGTAGACTTGCTGTAAATGTGCGAGTTGGCGTTTAGTAGCTTTGGGAAAAATTTAAGTCGGCTGTTGTGGTTACAGAACGCTGCAATTGCGGACGGAAAGGAGGACCTCAGCGACTTACCTCCCAACCAGAGGCGGAAAAAGCTGATGCAGAAAGTCGAAGAGCTCAAAAGCAAAGTTGCTCAAGAAACCGCCGCTAAAGACGGGCTCATGAAGATGAAGGGGGTGTACGAGGCGAATCCGGCGTTGGGCGATCCGATGACGATTGAAGGTAAGGGAGGGGATGCGTGCTGGTTAGGTTGGCACTTTTGAAAAATGACAGCTCCATAAAATTGTACAACCAGTGACTTAATATTAGTGATTTTGTGGTTAAAATTGTATGATGGCATGCCTGATTGTCAAATTGAAATTTTATCACGTTTCAAGCTGTCACTCAAAATGTGACCAGAGGCGTATTATTCATGTTATGAAAAGGGGGCTTTGAAAAATATCCAGTTAGGTATAATTTTTTTTATAACTAGTGACTTAATTTTAGTGATTTTTTTGTTAGGTTAGCAACATTTTAAAATTTTATGGTGGATTGTCCAATTGAAATTTTTTGGCGCCAAGTCAGTAGCGGCAATCTTCTCATCACATTTGGTACGTGCTTTAGAAAAGTCACAAGTTGTCACTCGGACTTTGAGCAGAGGCGTATTATTCACATTTTGAAATGGGGGTGTTGGAAAAATATTTAGTTCCATAGAAAATTGTAAAATTGGTACTGCAAGATAACGAGTGATTTATTTTTTCTTTCCAGTCGGCAACATTTAATAATTTTGTGATGGCATGCCTGACTGTCAAATTGAAATTTTGCGTGCCAAGTCTGCAGCTGCCATCTTCTCATCACATTATGTCATTCGGGCTTGACCAGAGGCGTATTATTTGAAGTTTGAAATTGAGGGATTGAAAAAAAAATTAAAAGTTTTGTTGACAAGCTACTAAATTTAATTGTACGAGTTTCATTCTTTATAACTAGTGACTTAATTTTTGTAATTTTTTGGTAGGTTGGCAACATCTTAAAATTTTATGATGGCACATCTGGTTGTCAAATTGAAATTTTTTGGTGCCAAGTCAGTAGCGGCAATCTTCTCATCACGTTTGGTACGTGCTTTTGAAAAGTCACAAGTTGTCACTCGGACTTTGACCAGAGGCGTATTGTTCACATTTTGAAATGGGGGCGTTGGAAGAATATCTAGTTCCATAGAAAATTGTAAAACTGATAATGCAAGATAACGAGTGATTTATTTTTTTTTCCAGTCGGCAACACTTAATAATTTTGTGATGGCATGCCTAACTGTCAAATTGAAATTTTGCGTGTCAAATGTGCAGCGGCCATCTTCTCATCACGTTTGTTGCGTGTTTTGGGAAAATCACATTTTGTCATTGGGGCTTGATCAGAGGCGTATTATTTGAAGTTTGAAATAGAGGGATTAAAAAAAAAATAAAAAGTTCAGTTGAAAAGTTAATAAACTTAATTGTACGAGTTTCATTTTTTGTAACTAGTGACTTAATTTTAGTGATTTTTTTGTTAGGTTGGCAACATCTTAAAATTTTATGATGGCACATCTGATTGTCAAATTGAAATTTTTTGGCGCCAAGTCAGTAGCGGCAATCTTCTCATCACGTTTGGTACGTGCTTTTGAAAAGTCACAAGTTGTCACTCGGACTTTGACCAGAGGCGTATTAATCACATTTTGAAATGAGGACGTTGGAAAAACATCTAGTTCCATAGAAAATTGTAAAATTGATGCTGCAAGATAACGAATGATTTAATTTTTTTTTTCCAGTCCGCAACATTTAATAATTTTGTGATGGCATGCCTGACTGTCAAATTGAAATTTTGCGTGCCAAATGTGCAGCTGCCATCTTTTCATCACGTTTGTTGCGTGTTCTGGAAAAATCACATTTTGTCATTCGGGCTTGACCAGAGGCGTATTATTTGAAGTTTGAAATAGAGGGATTAAAAAAAAATAAAAAGTTTAGTTGAAAAGTTACTAAACTTAATTGTGCGAGTTTCATTTTTTGTAACTAGTGACTTAATTTTAGTGATTTTTTTGTTAGGTTAGCAACATTTTAAAATTTTATGGTGGCACATCTGATTGTCAAATTGAATTTTTTTGGCGCCAAGTCAGTAGCGGCAATCTTCTCATCACGTTTGGTACGTGCTTTTGAAAAGTCACAAGTTGTCACTCGGACTTTGACCAGAGGTGTATTAATCACATTTTGAAATGGGGACGTTGGAAAAACATCTAGTTCCATAGAAAATTGTAAAATTGATGCTGCAAGATAACGAATGATTTAATTTTTTTTTCCAGTCCGCAACATTTAATAATTTTTTGATGGCATGCCTGACTGTCAAATTGAAATTTTGCGTGCCAAATGTGCAGCTGTCATCTGCTCATCACGTTTGTTGCGTGTTCTGGAAAAATCACATTTTATCATTCGGGCTTGACCAGAGGTGTATTATTTGAAGTTTAAAATAGAAGGATTGAAAAAAATAATAAACAGTTTTGTTGAAAAGCTACCAAACTTGATTGTACGAGTTTCATCTTTTATAACTAGTGACTTAATATTAGTGATTTTTTTTGTTAGGTTGGCAACATCTTAAAATTTTATGATGGCACATCTGATTGTCAAATTGAAATTTTTTAGCGGCAATCTTCTCATCAGGTTTGGTACGTGCTTTTGAAAAGTTATAAATTGTCATTCGGACTTTGACCAGAGGCGTATTAATCACATTTTGAAATGGGGACGTTGGAAAAACATCTAGTTTCATAGAAAATTGTAAAATTGATACTGCAAGATAACAAGTGATTTATTTTTTTTTCCCCAGACGGCAACATTTAATAATTTTGTGATGGCATACCTGACTGTCAAATTGAAATTTTGCGTGCCAAGTCTGCAGCGGCCATCTTCTCATTACGTTTGTTGCATGTTTTGGAAAAATCACATTTTGTTATTCTGGCTTGACGAGAGGCGTATAATTTGAAGTTTGAAATAGAGGGATTAAAAAAAAATAAAAAGTTTAGTTGAAAAGTTACTAAACTTAATTGTACGAGTTTCATTTTTTGTAACTAGTGACTTAATTTTAGTGATTTTTTTGTTAGGTTGGCAACATCTTAAAATTTTATGATGGCACATCTGATTGTCAAATTGAAATTTTTTGGCGCCAACTCAGTAGCGGCAATCTTCTCATCACGTTTGGTACGTGCTTTTGAAAAGTTATAAATTGTCATTCGGACTTTGACCAGAGGCGTATTATTCACATTTTGAAATGGGGACGTTAGAAAAACATCTAGTTCCATTGAAAATTGTAAAATTGATGCTGCAAGATAACGAGTGATTTAATTTTTTTTCCCAGTCGGCAACATTTAATAATTTTGTGATGGCATACCTGACTGTCAAATTGAAATTTTGCGTGCCAAGTCTGCAGCTGCCATCTTCTCATCACGTTTGTTGCGTGTTCTGGAAAAATCACATTTTGTCATTCGGGCTTGACCAGAGGCGTATTATTTGAAGTTTGAAATAGAGGGATTGAAAAAATAAATAAAAAGTTTTGTTGAAAAACTACTAAATTTAATTGTACGAGTTTCATTTTTTATAACTAGTGACTTAATTTTAGTGATTTTTTTGTTAGGTTGGCAACATCTTAAAATTTTATGATGGCACATCTGGTTGTCAAATTGAAATTTTTTGGCGCCAAGTCAGTAGCGGCAATCTTCTCATCACGTTTGGTACGTGCTTTTGAAAAGTCACAAGTTGTCACTCGGACTTTGAGCAGAGGCGTATTATTCACATTTTGAAATGGGGACGTTGGAAAAACATCTAGTTCCATAGAAAATTGTAAAATTGATAATGCAAGATAACGAGTGATTTAATTTTTTTTTCCAGTCGGCAACATTTAATAATTTTGTGATGGCATGCCTGACTGTCAAATTGAAATTTTGCGTGTCAAATGTGCAGCGGCCATCTTCTCATCACGTTTGTTGCGTGTTTTGGAAAAATCACATTTTATCATTCGGGCTTGACCAGAGGCGTATTATTTGAAGTTCGAAATAGAGGGATTAAAAAAAAAATTAAAAGTTTAGTTGAAAAGTTACTAAACTTAATTGTGCGAGTTTCATTTTTTGTAACTAGTGACTTAATTTTAGTGATTTTTTTTTTGTTAGGTTGGCAACATCTTAAAATTTTATGATGGCACATCTGATTGTCAAATTGAAATTTTTTGGCGCCAAGTCAGTAGCGGCAATCTTCTCATCACGTTTGGTACGTGCTTTTGAAAAGTCACAAGTTGTCACTCGGACCTTGACCAGAGGCGTATTATTCACATTTTGAAATGGGGGCGTTGGAAAAACATCTAGTTTCATAGAAAATTGTAAAATTGATACTGCAAGATATCGAGTGATTTTTTTTTTCCCCAGACGGTAACAATTAATAATTTTGTGATGGCATGCCTGACTGTCAAATTGAAATTTTGCGTGCCAAATGTGCAGCGGCCATCTTCTCATCACGTTTATTGCGTATTTTGGAAAAATCACATTTTATCATTCGGGCTTGACCAGAGGCGTATTAATTATTTGAAGTTTGAAATAGAGGGATTGAAAAAAAAAAGTTTTGTTGAAAAAACTACTAAATTTGATTGTACGAGTTTCATCTTTTATAACTAGTGACTTAATATTAGTGATTTTTTTGTTAGGTTGGCAACATCTTAAAATTTTATGATGGCACATCTGATTGTCAAATTGAATGTTTTTGGCGCCAAGTCAGTAGCGGCAATCTTCTCATCAGGTTTGGTACGTGCTTTTGAAAAGTTATAAATTGTCATTCGGACTTTGCCAGAGGCGTATTATTCACATTTTGAAATGGAGGCGTTGGAAAAATATCTAGTTCCATAGAAAATTGTAAAATTGATAATGCAAGATAACGAGTGACTTAATTTTTTTTTTCCAGTCGGCAACATTTAATAATTTTGTGATGGCATGCCTGACTGTCAAATTGAAATTTTGCGTCCCAAGTCTGCAGCTGCCATCTTCTCATCACATTTGTTGCGTGTTCTGGAAAAATCACATTTTGTCATTCGGGCTTGACCAGAGGCGTATTATTTGAAGTTTGAAATAGAGGGATTGAAAAAATAAATAAAAAGTTTTGTTGAAAAACTACTAAATTTAATTGTACGAGTTTCATTTTTTATAACTAGTGACTTAATTTTAGTGATTTTTTTGTTAGGTTGGC